CACATCGCGCGTGTCGCAGCCGCGCTGAGCATCGACGAGCGCAGCGGCGCGCAGATCGCGCGCGCGCTCGACGCCGACTACGTGCTCGTGCAGTTCTCGGGGCTGCTCGGCAGCCGGCCGGACTACCTCGGCAAGCTGCCCTGGATGCGCATCATTGCGCACCACCACTTTCCGCAGCTGCCTGGGCTCGACGCGCTCGGCGCCGAGGCGCTCTCGGGCTCGCCGCTCCCCGGCGCGCCCTCCGGCGACTTCGCCGAGACGCTTGTGTACAAAACGAGTTACAAAGACTTCAGCAAGAACCCGCTCGGCGCGCGCGCCGACCGCAAGCGCGGCGCGCGCGTGCCGCGCGACCCGCAGCTCTCGGAGCTCGAAGAGGTCTACCGCAGCCCGCTCTGGCAGGTCCGAATTTACCGCGTAAGTGCCGGCCGCGCCGCCGCAGGTGAAGCCCGCGAACGAGTTGAGCCCGCACGGGGCTGCCGCCGCCCACTCCATTTTCGCCCCATAAATCTTGTTTGTGTCTCCGAAATTACCAATCGCGAATTATCCAGAATGGCGGCTACCAAGACCTCGCACCCGTTGGCGGTCGCGACGCCCAAGAACTTCCGCTTCGGCAACGCCATCAAGCCCGTCAAGGACCTGTCTTATGTGGTTCGCTGGCCCAAGTGCGTGCAGCTACAGCGCAAGCGCGCCATCTTGCTGCGCAAGCTGAAGATCCCGCCGGCTTTGAACCAGTTCCGCACGACGCTCCCGCGCAACGAAGCGGTCGCGCTCTTCGCGCTGCTCGCGAAGTACCGCCCGGAGACGGCTGAACAGCGCAAACAGCGCCTGCTCGCGGAAGCCGAGGCGCGCAACGCCGGCGCCGCGCCGAAGCACGCCTCGAAAAAGACGCTCGTCTGCGGACTCGACGAAGTCACCAAGCTCGTCGAGACGAAGAAGGCGCGACTCGTCGTGATCGCCTGCGACGTGCAGCCGATTGAGCTCGTCTGCTGGCTGCCGACGCTCTGCCAAAAAATGCAGGTGCCCTACTGCATTGTCAAGGACAAATCGCGCCTCGGACTGCTGCTGCACCGCAAGACCGCCGCCGTCGTCGCACTCGCGGAAGTCAGCCAGGCCGACGTCGCCGCGCTCAAGGCGCTCACGACCGCGTTCGCGCCGCAGTTCATCGACAACGCAGACGCGCGCCGCCGCTGGGGCAACTAACTGTGACTCTCCGATTTAGCGTAAATTTTAATCCTCTCGAGCGCGCGCATGCTGGCCCTCTACGCGCGGCTCGCAAACCTGCTGCCCGAGTTCGGACTCGCGCAGACGCGCGCAGACGGCAGCGTGCGGCTGCAGAACATCTGTGACCTGCGCGGGCTGAACCTACTGCGCCGCCGGCTACGCGACGAGCGCGACGAGCTGCTCGTGCTCGTCGAGCCTAGCCGCTTCCTGAGCTCCGCGCTCGCGCGCGCGTTGCCCACGCCGCACACTTTCGTCAGCCCGAAGACCGTACTGCGCGCGCTGCCGAAAGACCTGCACTACGTCTCCGAGGGCTTCGAAGGCCCCTGTCTCTCCGCGCTGCGGCTGCTCTGCACGCACTGCGACGTCGCCGGCCGCGCCGTCCACTTCCAGTCGACGCTCGACGCGGACTTCACAACTGTCAGCGCCGGCACGCTGCGCGCGCTGAACGTGCTGCCTAACAAGCTGGAGAGCGGCTCGCTGCTCGACCACTGCAGCAAGCCAGTTAGCGCGATGGGCAAGCGCCGCGCTCGCGCGTTTCTGCTCTTCCACCCGCTGACCAACGCGCAGTTCATCGCCGCGCGCCAGCAACTCGCCAGCTGCCGCAACGCCGCGCAGAGCTTCGCCGTGCTCAACCTGCTGCGCCAGCTGCCCGACCTCGACAAACTCAACATGCGGCTCTGCTCCGTAGCGCTGATGGACCGCGAGCGCCAGCTGCAGCTGCGCGGCGTCATACACAGCCTCTGGCGCGCGCTCTCGACGCTGCACGCCTTCTTCGAGCACGCAAAGCTCGACGCGAACAACTACTTCTTCGCACACCTGCGCGCCGCCGCCGAGAGCTGCCACAAGTGGATGAACCTCGTCGCAGACGTCGTCAACCTCGACTCGTTTGACCGCGACGCCGCGCTGCCGTTCCTCAACCCGCAGGGCCGCAACCCTGCGCTGCAAACGCTCTACGCGGAGACCGCGCAGTGCGCGGAACAAATTCGCCAAGAGCTCGAACGCCTGCACGAGAGCGACCGCAGCGCGCGCGTCACGCTCAAAAGCTCGCCGCAAGGCGAACAGCTGCTGCGGCTGCCGCGCAGCGCGAAGTTGCCGCGCGACGCGCGCATCGTCAAGCTCAACAAAGCGGAAGTCTTGTTCATGACCGACCGCTTCGCGGAGCTGCTGCGCGCGCAAACCACGCTGCGGTTGCAGGCCGCCGAGATCGAGAAAGACGTTGTCGAGCAGCTCTTCCGCGTCTCGCTACAGTTCCTGCCCGTGTTCGAGCGCGTCGCCGACCTCGTCGGGCAGATCGACGCGTTTAACGGCTGGGCCGAGGCGCTCAAACTGCTGCCCAACGCGGACCACACGTGGGTCGCGCCGCGCATCGTCGCGCCGCTGCGCGTGCACTTCCGCCGCGGGCGCCACCCGCTGCTCGCGCTGCTGCATGACCTCTCGGTCTCCACGACGTCCTGCGTGCCCAACGACTTTCGCCTCGACGACGAACTGCGCCACTACTTGATCACCGGCGCGAACATGGGCGGCAAAAGCACCTACAACCGCCAGCAGATGCTGCTGGTGCTGCTCGCGCAGTACGGCATGCGCGTGCCCGCCGCCGCGGACGCCGAGACCTGCGTCTTCCACGTCTTCTGGACACGCATCGGCGGCGCGGACAACCCGAGCCGCGGCGTCAGCACCTTTCTCGCCGAAGCCGCCGAGTGCGCCGCGATGATCCACGCACTCGAGCCCGGCAAGCGGCACCTGCTGCTCATCGACGAACTCGGCCGCGGCACCAGCATCGAGGACGGCCTGCTCTTCGCAAAGTCCATCTTGCAGCACCTCATCTCTCTGCCGGACGTCTGCACCGTCTCCGCCACGCACATGCACGAACTCACGACGGCGTCCCTGCCGCGAACCGCGCTCAAGCGCATGGGCGACCCTAGCGACGAGGCGCAGCGCTACCGCCTGTTCGACGGCGTCGAGTACGAGTCGAGCGTGCGCACGCTCGCGCAGCGGCTCGGCTTCCCGCTGAGCATCGTGGACGCCGTCGAAGCACAGCTCGCTAATTAGTTCGGGATTATAACGTGTGCATGCAACTTCCACTTTGTCACTCTAAATTCGTCCTGCACTATGCCGAGCAGAACGCGGTTTAGAAAGTTCCACGTCAGCCGCAAAGATCCTTTCTACTTCGCCCGCGAGGCAGCCGAAGAGGCGCGCTTCGCGGCGAAACGCTCGCTACTCGACGACCGCGCGCGCCAGCCGCTGCAGGCCGATGCGCTGCGCCTTCTCCGGCCCCCTTGGCTGCAGTCGCTGCGCGCGCTGCCGGGCTACGGCGTCTACACCTTGACCGACCTGCCGAGCTCCACCGACTTTGCCATCTGTCCCTCCGCCTGCGAACCGCCGCACACCCAGCTCACGCTGCTCCGCTTCCTACACCGCGGCTGCAACAACTGGGAGGACGACGCGTCGTCCGGCGTTCTTCGCGAGCAGCCGAGCCTGCGGTTCGAAGAACTGCTGTCGCAGTGTGACTTCGTTGTCGACGCGGCGTACAACCTCACCAAGTCGAACGACAGCATTCGGCTGCCTTACTCGTCGCAGGAGCCGCCCACCGCTGAGCAGATCGGCGTGTACACCTTTTCGCTCGACGCTGAGCCCGCGCTCACTAGCGCTTCCGGCCGCAACGCGCAACTCAGCTCCGTGATCTACTTGAGCAACGCCAGCCACGACTCCCACTCCGTGACCGACACCGTGGTTCACGAGCTTCGGCTGCCCGGCGCGCGGAGCGGCGAGACTTTCACCCTCGAGATCAGCTACAAACTTCAGCCGAGCTCGCTCCACTGCTCCGTTGCGCCAACCGACTACGCTGTGCACTGTACGGCTCTTGACCGCAGCGAGCGCGACGCGGCACCTTCGCTCAGCGCCGTCGACTTAACGAACATCAACAGCTCGATCGAGCTGCCGCGGTCCTGCTCGCTGCAAGCCGCAGAGATCGCGTGCCTGAACGGCGACTCGCTCGCTTCCAGTCCGCGAGCGCTGCCCATCGATCCAAACTCAGTTCTCACAGCTCTGCACCGGCAACTGGTTGAAGGCGCACAGTGTGTCGCCGCGCCGGACTCCTGTCAAACTCTGGGCGACGCTGCCGTTTCTCGCGCGCGCGTTTTCGAACGCGCGCCTGGCTGTACCGTCAGACAGATTGCGGAACCTGGCGCGGGCAACGACTCGATCGAGCGCCCTGGTTCAGGGAAGAATTACTGCCTTTCTTCGTTCGACAGCATAGTAGCGCGCAGTTCGCACAGCGCGAACGAAACGCCTGTTTCTGTGTCGCAGTCCGCAGCCTGCCCGAAAAGCGAACTTCGCGACTTTACGCCCGCATCAGACGCTGTTCCTGGCGCGACGGCGGCGTCCGCCAGCGCAAGCGCCGGCGCGAGCAGCGAGACGCGCGCTGTGGGCTGCCGCGAGCCTGCGCTTGATCCGACGGCATCGGAACTCACGCAGTGCCCGCAATCCGCTAGCGCTACAGCATTGAAATCGGCGCCTAGCTCCGGCAACATAGCGCTCGCTCCGACTCAGCAGGGCAGCGAGGCAAAACTGTCAAGCGCTCCAATCGCAGCCGCAGCCAGTAAGCGCAGCTCGCAGCTGCACGACGAAGAAGACGACCCGGTCGCCGCTTCAGAAGAGATGAATTACCGCGAAAGCCGATCACGTTCTCGTGCAGACGGAAGCACTACGGTCCCTCTGGACTCCACAACGGCCGTCAGCCGTGATCTAGCGCTCACCAGCGCACCCTCTCGCTCAGGAAGCGCTACGCTGCAGACGCTGTTCACAAAATCCGACTCTTCTCAGCGAATCCGCAGAGCCGCTCCGGTTCAAACGCGCAAATTCGCTCGCTCTGCTTCACACGAGCCGCACGCGCAGTCGCTGACCGGCGCTGAGACTAGGCTATCGCTCACCGACGCCGCACCCAGCGACGGCGACTCACTTGTTCTGCTGCATGACGCGAACTCAAGCCAGCACTCGCTGCCAGCAGAATGCTCTTCGAGTTCCGACCTGCTGACTGCTGCGCTAAGCGCAGCGAGTGACGATCTGAAGAACGACAGAACGAAGTCTCAACGCCTACTCGCCGACTGCAACTCGCTAAACGCCCCGCAGCATTCCGGATGTCTGAAGTCCACTGAGCGTTTCAAAAGTGCTAGCTCTCCTTCGCCTGGCGCCAAAGCATCCGAAAACGCAACGTTTCCTGCGCATCCCAGCGCATGCCCCGCAACGCGCTCTTCACTGTCTTTCGTTAGAGCCAGCGTCAGCGAGTCTGCACCCGACCAGCTTGAAGCATCACTGCTCCGCTGCTCAACTTCACAGAACGATTCCCAACAAAAGGCACCAAACGCGGTCAACGACTCTATCGTGCGCGAACAGTTTCTTAAAATTCAGCGCGACGTCGCTGCGCTCTCTGCCAGTGCGCCGCGCAACAACTCCAGTGTCGATGCTCCCGCTCAAAAAAACAGCCTGACCGACTACAGTTCGCTTAGCGACGTAGCCGGCGCAGCCCTTCTCAACTCCGGTAGCTCAGCCAACCTCAAGAGGTTACACAGCTTAGGAGTCGGCAGCGGCGTGTCAGCTACTGTGACCGAGGCTCCGAATCTCGTACTGCAGAGTTCACAGTCTTCGCAAACAAAACCACTCACCGAAAGCGAAGAGCGCAACGACTTCCGAAAACCGTCTGAAGAGCTTCAAATCGCCAACGCTAGCTCTAGCACAATCTTTCCAACAAATCTCAGTACCGGAGAAAGTCAGCCAGCCGCCACTCGCAGCGGCGACGCGCAGCTCAGAATTAGACCTAACGAGTCACTTGAGAGCGCGAACGCTCTTCGGGCGCCGCAGAATCAAAATAGTGCTAGCTCAACCCCAAAAAACTCGACCACACCTGCTGCCGCTGTGGGTATCACGCGCAGCGTCACTCGGGAGCTCATCCAGCAGATTTCACAATGGTCGCAGACAAAACCACTCAACGCGAGCGAAGAGCGCAACGACTTCCGAAAACCATCCGAAGAGCTCCAAACCGCCAGTGCTAGCTGCAGCGCAATCTGTGCAACGGATCTCAGTACAGAAAAAAATGAGCCGGCTAGCTCTCACAGCTGCGACGCGCAACAGAAACCCGGACTAGATGAATCGCTCGAAAACACGAATGCTTCTCCAGCGTCGCAGGAAAACGATACCGCTGAGTCAAAAGCAAAAGATTCCATCTCCGCAGCTGCTCCCACGGATAACACGCGCCGCACCAACGCTGAGACTACGAGTCGCTCTGTTGGGTCACCCACGTTGCACACCAAATCCGTCCGCGAAACATCCACAAGCATCGCGGAAACGCTGCAGAAAACTAGTTCAACGCAGCAGAACGCTGTGCCATCTAAAGAAGTCAGCGAATCGATGCCGACCAACCTCTCCAGCGCGCTGTCTGCTTTGCGAAGCGAAAGCTCGCGCTTATCCCAGTTATCTGACCGCGTCCTCGGCTCGCAGGAAATGATTGCGGCACGTGCTCTATGCGAAGCAGCGGCAGTCCGTCGCTCCGCTGCAGCTAGTAAATTGTTGAGTTCTGTGCCGCAAAATAGTTCGTCCAGCTTGACGTCTGTGTTGTCGTTGGTGTCAAGCTCAACAAAAGTCGCTGCGCCTTCTATAAATGAAGCAGCAGACGTCCCAGAGAGCTCAGGCGCCGCGAACGGCGAATCTAGAACCGAGAATTCTAACGCGGCAATCGCAGCGCGCGACGCGCCCATGCAGACAATCCAGCCGGAAAAGACACCGCAGTCTACTGTAGAGGCTGCATCGCGCACTAGCGGTGAGTTGCAGAACGCAAACGGCGCGCAGAGCGCATCGCGTAAGTTTTCCAACAGTGTGCGCGAAAAACTGTCTAAGCCGCAGCGTGCATCGCCTGAATCGCGTTTCGCTTCTAGCACGCACAGCTACGCCGGCAGCAGCCAAAGCCTTAAAGACGTCGAAGCCGCCAACCCAGCAAATGACGAAAAGAAGTTACGAATGCCAGTTCCTTCTCAGAGCGGCTTGAACAGCGTTGCCCAGACTAGCCCTGCGGCGTTTGCTTCCATTTTGCACTCGCCCGCAAGCGACTTGCTGCTGCGAAACTCGAGCAGCGACCTTGAGTCGCACGGCCCTATCGCACCGCAGAGCGCTTCGCTGCAGTCCGTTACCTCTGCGCAACAACTCTGCGCCGCAGCGAAATCTGCAGCGATCGTCAGTCTGGAACAACAATCTTTCCAGTTCGCCGACGGCTCAAGCGAAAGACGCACTGCACCGCTGCGCGACGAGAGTTCCGGGAAGTCCGCGAGCGTGGCGCAAAACGCTTTTGCCGATATTGCGAAATTCACTGCTCAGACTTCCAATGAACTACCTAGCGACGCGACGGCGCAACACGTCGCGAACCGCTCCGCGCAATACTCCGGTGACAAGTCTGCCCCACATACGTCGGAAAAGATTGTCAGTAGCGTCTCTGCGTCGCTTAGCGCAGAGCTGCCTCCCCAGACACATAGCGAACAAACTCCAACTGACTTCCGCAAGCGTATATCATCCGTGCGCAGCGCGGTTCACTCGGATTACGCTCCAGACTTTATTGTAGACCAAAGCTTTGTCGAAGCCGTCCAAGGATCGCGCAGCGGACACGACGTGTCCGCGCTCTCTGCAGGCCGCTCGTCGCTCGAGCGGTTCTCCTCGCGCAGCGGGCCGTCGGAACGCAACGTAGCTTCTGCCGACGCGCTTTCCGCGCGGGACGCGAGGCGAAGCAGCTCTCAGCTGTTCGCCGAAGCCGTTCTGACTAAGAAAGGAACGCAATTCGGCGACGACT